ATAGTAATATAAGAATGTAAAACTGCACTACCACTATCGGCGGAATAACACGTTTCAACACTCACAAAAATACCTCGATGATCAGGTATTTAGGCAATCACAGTACTAATCATACTCTGGGCCAAGAGCAATTTAGTAATAAAAACGTCAGAACTCTCGACTTAAGACCGAGACCCTGCTTATTAAAGAATTCTTGCATATTTTGACTGAAAGGAGAAGGAAATGCAACAAAATATTTCAATTCTGTTGATATCTGCTCTACCTTAACGCCAATCCACTTTATTCCGATTCAACTCAACGCTAGTTTCTAACCCCCTTTTAAAACACTTCACCAGTTTCCTTTTCATTTTTCCTACTGCATATTTCTAGCATTTTCTTTCCTGCCAGTATCTATCTGTAATTCTTCTGTAGTTTATCTTAACTGTTACTGTAATAATACTGTTTATTACAGCCCTGATGACGGTCATTGTGTCGGAAGCTGAAGCGTCAAACAAAAACAGCTAATAGAGAATGAAGAAACTGTGCTATTGAAAAGAGAGACAACTGAAACCGGCAATTGGCACATGTTCACCGAAATTTCAGAACAACATGTACGCGCAGCTTCTTTCGATTCATTAATCTTAATAAAAACTGATTCATAAACAAAAGTAATATATGATCAGTTTGCAATTCACATAGCATAAACCACAAATGTTCGTCATCGCAGGGCATTGGCCGTGGCCAGATAAAACGGATACTAGTGCCATTTGACTCAAACGTACCTGAATGCGATGATTGTCTTTGTCGACTACGATGATATTGTTGTGAGAATTGACGGCGACGCCGGCCGGTCGGTCAAACTGACCGCTGCGGCAGCCCAGCGAGCCGAACTTGGTCAGGAACTTGCCGTCCTTGTCGAAAATCTGAACGCGATTGTTGCTGCGGTCGGCGATGATGATGCGACCCAGTCTGTCGCAGGTGATGCCCCATGGGCGACACAACAGACCGTTGGCCGTTCCTTCGCCGCCGAACGAAAAAATTGGTTGCGCCTTGATGCCACAGTAGTCGCGCCCACATTTAACGTTAACAACGAACGGACTGTCATGTATCGGCAGTCCCCTGATAAAGATATGAACCTGAAATCAAGACCAACCCGTCAAAGTTGTACATACCAACTCAACAACACCTTGATTTACCTTATGCTCTCCTTCCACCGAAGGAGTATAGCTACACAAATATCGACCGTTTTGTTTATCCATGATTTTCACCGGGATAGTCATACCATTCGGAACGTAGGCAACTGCTGTAACATGATCGCCACCTGTGGTGCATTGCTCTCCTATGTGGCTTTTAGCCTGTACTGTTAGGCAAATATTTTTGTCTGAAACAGCATCAGTATGCATATAGACATGAGTCAGAATGGCGCATTAAAAGTTTACGAAAAAAGCAAAATCAAAGTGTGAAAATGACACACCGGACGGTAGCCGAGGTTCAAACAGAAAGAGTAATAGAACCCTTTTGAGCAATAGATAAAAAAGTTGATTCATAAACTCAACTTTGGCTTCTTCATCGAAGTACATGGCAAAACCGCTATGCTGATGCCTCAACTGTAAATTACAATCACGTTACTCACCTGTCACTAATCACCATCGTCAACACACTGAACTGTAAAGTGTTTCTTACAGATCCTGGGCTGGCGGTTCTGGCATGGTTGATTTGAATCCAATTTTCGATTCATGTAGCCGTCTGATGTTGAACAGATATTAGGGATAGTCATGAAAGCTATTTTTCTTCTCTCTTCAGTCTTAAGGAAGATTGGGGCTGGGCCGTCCCTGATTAACACATCCACCAGATATCTTCTCGCATTGGAATTTTTAGCACAGGTACCTTTGGAATACTTCACTTTCCGACGCTCAATAGTCCTTGGCCCACATAGCACATCACTGATTAATCAAGTACTTCGCATTACAAATTTACTCGTACAATAGAAAAAAAACAGTTAATTCCAAAATAAAAAAATCTATTGAGGAAACCCACATCAGATAAAAATGCGAACGAGAAAACGCCGGAATCAAAAACAGCCTTAAATTTAAATATAGCGAAATTACAACTAATGGTTTTCGGTAAGCTCTTTTCGAGTTTTTCGCAGAAACCAAAATTAGCACAATTCTCTCCCAAAGTCTGAGATCAGTGATGATGGGAATTCGTTTAACAACTTCAAAATAAGCCGTTTCGGGCGGATTATATGGGCAACTGCTTCAGAAAACTTTCTTAATGTCAGTGTTTAACAGTCGTACCCTAACTTTTAAAACAGGTTAGAAGTACGGAAGCTTGGTATAATGACCTATGTCTACCTTCTAATAAAGTAAGCTCATATTTTGTACTGTGTGGTAGTAATGGAAGCAGAAAAGTTGATTACGAGTCAACCCCAGCAGCTCACATTTGTTCCATTGTCATTACTCGGCAGTGACGAAGACCTCAGTGAGTGTCAGCGTAAATCTTAATAACGCGGCTAGGGCCTGACTCCACGCAATGGCTTCACGAACTTTGTTCCCAGATCATACATGATAAAAATTTCTTGCCAAGGAAAATAAGGGATCAGCGTAACGGAGTGACAGTCGTTACGGTCTAGAGATCGTCATTATCAGATAACTTTAATACTCGTTATTACTTGAAACTGCGCAGATTTCTAGCGTCGGTTACTCTCGTCCTTCTGCTTGGGACTCTGTCGTAAAACTGAATGGACAGAAACAACAGTGTTAACAAAATCATTTCGCAAAGTACAGAACACGTACATTCTGTTTTCTTTCTTACTTATCTTTTACACAAAAAAGCATTTTGTGTTGACAACAACCACGCTGCTTACGCCGAACAACAAGCCTTTCTTCGTCTGATTTCCTACTTTTCGTATTGCCCTTCCACTAGGTCATCCCCTACTG